GGGAGCGGGGGGAAGGGGGCGGGAATAAGTGTTTTGTAGTGGAAAAGGGTAAAAGAAAATGCATACTTGGCATTTTTACAGTGAATGCCATCCTTCCCAGAGGCAGGAGCTGAGGTCTCCCTGAAAACTGGAGGTTCCCTGGGGTTTCCCAGGGAAGCCACAGCTCTCCACCAAGGAGGGAACCCTGCTGCCCTGCCATCTTGCAGGAAGCCCTCAGGCAGGGTGTCCCGGGATGGGATGGCATGGCATGGCATGGCATGGCATGGGGGCATCCTGTGACTGGGGACCAGCAGGGAAAGCAGTGGCAGCTCAGGGGGACAGAGAAGGGGAATCTGAGGTGGGGGCATGGCCGGGCACCGTGCAGGGCAGGATGAGTTCTCACCCCTGCCCTGGCACTGTGCTGAGGTGGGAGCTAACGAGCAGGGATGATTCCTGCAGTGTTTGCTGAGTCAAAGGCAATGGGAGGGAGAAATACCTACTGCAGCAGGAGGCTTTCACGAGCTTTTGCTGGTTTCTCCATGAGTTTCTGTTAGAGAGGGCTTCCACTTGATGCAACATTTTGGGTTTTAGAATGTGCTCTGCTATACCAATCTCTACAAAACTGGCTCTTGAGTGGCAGAAAGAAAAGCAAAGTTAGGTGACTTGTATATAAAAATAACAGCAGACTTACCAGCCCACCTTCATTGCACCTCTGCCAACCAGGCGAGACGCTCATATGGACACTGACCTGCACTTACGGGATTTCTGCGGGAGACGTCAGTGTTTCTTCTTTCCCAGAAGGAAGGCTTCAAGAGGGTTCAGCCTTTCAGAGAGCTCAGTGATTCAAATTTGAACCCTGGAGTTCCTGCTCAAAAGCCCGTGGCTTCCTCCAGAGGCTGCCTGAAGGCAGTGAAAGAGTTATCTCCGGAGCGGAGCAGCAGCCCTGGGTGATGAAGTGGATAAGCAGGCACTCCATTCATCTGCTGCCCAGCGCTGCCTGACCTTGGGCAGGTCGAAGAGGAAAGGCGTCCCGGCTCCTTTCCTGGGAACAAAGGGCAAGGGAAGGAAGGAGGGTGACTCAGGAGTCCTGCTGCCCTACGTGGGGCTGCTTGGCAAGTGGTGAGGGCCACCCTCAGCAATGCACCCGCTGCAGAAAGTGCATCCATACATTGCCCTGGCGCACCTTTTGTTCTAACAGGAAAACAATATTCTTGGGGTTTTTTTTGTTTTTCAGTTATTTACTTGCCTCATTATCTCTGGGAGCGCAGACTTGAAGGTGGAGTTTATCCTGGGCTGGACTGCAGCGCCTGAACAAATAAGAGTCCACTTTGGGAAAGGTTTGGGGGTTTTTTCATTATTTTTCAGAAGTTCCAGCTGGAGCTACCCAAATGCGAACACGTGGGGAGGAGAAACATGAAATGCTGAGGGCTGAGCCTAATTACTGGCTGCCTCCCGCCCGTAGCCCTGTTGTGGCGAAGCACGCGCTGGAGCAGTAGGAGACAGGGCTGCAAACATCTCCATTTATGACAAGCTCAGCTACTCCTGGTGCCATTAATTTCCTCCCAGACCAATGTTTTCTCCTCCCACCCTGTGGGGCTGTGTTGGTGTGGGACTATGCCGTACCACTCCGTGAAGTGTCCCACACCACTTTGGGGGCAAATTAGACATGGGGAGTAGGTGCAACCGGCAAGGCAGGTGCCACCTTGCAGGTGAGCCATCACCCCCAAAGGGTGAGCAGGTGGCTGGATATCCCTGGAGCAGCATCCCATCCCATCCCACCAAAAGCAGCGGCCCCACCAGCAGGACGGACGAGCAGGGCTTGGCCCAGGCGCAGGAGGAAAGGATCCAGGGTCTCTGTTGACATAACAAGCCACTAGAGAGCACTCTCAAATGTATTTATACCCTTTGCCTAAGTGCTGGTTCATAAAAACACGCGGTTGCCATGGCCTGGTTTACAGCACATCTAAAAAGAGAGCTCCCAAACATACCAGGTTTTCTGAGGCCACCACAAAGGCGGTCAAAGCCTCCCTTGTGCAGCGCCTTTCCCACCCCCCCGGGACCCAGGCACAGGGCAGCACCCGTCGGCTCCACGCACCCCCTCTTGCCCTGCACTGCTGCCCATTCACAAATAAGTGTCAGAAACAGTATTTAAAAAAAAAATAATGAAAAACCAATATTGCACTTGGGCAACTATAGCTTTTTGTAGTTTTGTTTTATCTATAAAAAAGTGCAAGAAGTATTTAATACTCCTAGTTTCCTCATACTTAGTGTCAGAAGTTTAAAAAAAAAAAAAAAAAAAGTAAAAATGCCAACAGGTTAGTTCAGCAGCTATCAACAAAAGCACTGTGCAGGTGATCCGACAGGAAAAAATATCTTGGAAAAAAAAAGTGATGGAAGTTTGGGGGAAAAAAAATAATCACACATTCTTCATTAAAACACTTTTAATACTACACAAATTACAGTATCACCTTTTAAAAAGTTTAAAAAGGAATATTAACAGTAGCACTGTTTCAGCTAAAGCACTTCAAAGTAACAAAAAAAAAAAAAAAAAGAAAAAGAAAAAGAAAAAAGCTTGTAGCCCAGGAAGCAGTAAATAAAGGAAGAATCCACCAGAGCATCATTGTAACTCAGTAAAACAACAAAAAGGAAAAAAGCAACATTGAATGTGAGAAAAATGAGCTATACATGAACACCCTCAGATTTTAACTTTTTCCCTTTTTTTTTCCCTTTTTTTTGGTTTCCTTTTGTAGTTCTACAGTTTTACGGTGCAGATTAGACTTGGCCGGGGTCTGGGGGCTGAACGTCAGCCGCGCGAGCGTAGCTACTGCCAGCCATTTCTTTTCCAGCTACGTTGTTCCCGGGCCACCGCCTGGCATCACCGGCCGGGGAGTTTCCATCCTCTCCAGGAGGCAGCCGGCCGGGAGGAGGAGGAAGGTGCCCCTCTGCCCAGTCACACCAAGGTCCCTCGGCCCCAAAACAAGGACAGGCTTTGTCAGGAGCAGATCTCGCCCTCGGCAGACTCAGAGCTGGGCCACCTGATAACACAAAACGGGGGGGGCCTTTTTAGGGAGGCTTTGGGGTTTCGGTTTTGCTTCCTTTTTTAAGAGTAGGGATACCACCTTAATCAAAAACATGAGCTTCATTCCATGCGAGGTATGCCAAGCAACTTTGAAGAACTTGTTACCATCTATCAGCTCAAAATCCATTTTTTTTTAATAAAGTGCCTAAATACACATTTACACAGATCATAGTGGTTCCAAAGAATCCTTTACAGTTGTTTTTTTTATATATAGGTATATATATAAGTATATATATATAATGTGCGTTTTCTTCAAATTGGCTAAATGTGTTTACATAAGACACCAATCTTGACTATAGGTATAAGTTTTAAAGCGTAATATTGACTCAATGAATTTGTTTATCATGCAAGTCTTATCTAATATTACATTGACCTGTAATATGGAACACAATGTAGTGGGTGTGCTCATAAAACACTTCATAAAAAATTACTGTGCATGTGCAGTTCTGATTTTCAAATACTAATAATGACCGTTTCTTTTTTTTAAAAAAAAAAAAAGAAAAAAAGAAAAAAAAAGTAGTCTTCCAAAAAAGATCTACTCTGCATTAAATTGCAGTCTGAACATTATCACAATAAGAACAGTTGACGAAAAAGCACCCAAAATTCTTCAAATTATAGTCGGCTGAACAGATTTTTCCTCCTCCTCCTCCTCTTCCGATACTCAAAGTGTTTATTAGCCCATCCCCAGGAAGGGACGACCTCGCCACCCTTTTGCTCAGAAACAACCGCTTTATAACCGAGTTATAAACACCTCGACAGAAGGGCTCGTACAGCTGCAGCGTTGCCAACGAACTATAAACAGCACAAAAACATCACTGTAAGACTCGAACTATTTCTAGTAACCAATGATTTATTGATTTTAGAAGTCTGCTTGGTGATGCAGAAGCGTGATCAAAAGAAGTGGCTTTACAAAAGAGTTCTCCAAAGTAGCTTAAAAGGCAGGGCCAGGGCCATTATGTGCAGCCCTAATTGCTTTCATTTCAACCAGTTTATATTTTCATTTTCAAAGAATAGCAGTAGGTTTGTTTCAAGCACACGTAATAAGGAAATTACAGGTTTCCTCCACCCACATTTGGGCTGTCACTGATATGCCCGCGGGCAATCTGGCAGAGCCTCAGTCACCGCTGTCACCGTACCACACCGTACCTGCCACTACTTGGAAACACCGGGTCAGTGATAGTAACAATAGCAACAGCACTAGAGGTGACTGATAAGCAAACTCAAAGTCCACCTGCACTATCTGAAAATTAGAGTAAAATTTATAACGAAAAAAAAAAAAAATTAACTCAGTCTCTCCCCCACCTCCCCAGCTTTGTCTAAAAACACAAAAGCCCCAGAAGTGACACTAAAGACCTTCAGAGATGGCAGTGCTACGTTGGCGCCTTCGCCAATCGTATAATTAAGTTCGTTATCAAAACTCCACGTTATGGTATGCAATTGGTGAATAAATGCAGTCTTGTAATCTTACAACTGATCACGTGAACTGCGGTCAACTTCGCCTTAAAAAAAAAAAAAAAAAGAAAAATAACAAACCCAAACCAAAACCAAACAAACCCAGAAATCCCTAACTCAACAGCGCCTCTCGGACACCTCTCCACATCCTACTCTGAAGGCAACTTCCCTTGAGAAACACAGAGGAATTTGGGACGGGATCTGGCAGATCTGCCATGGCAACCCGAGCCGCGCATTCCCGGGAGAAAGCCCTCCTGCTCCCTAAGCTGGCCTAGGGATGGCAACGGGCATCCCCGCCTTGGCTAGCCACTCTTCTCCCCAACCGCCTCAGACCAAGCCTGCATGCGACAAGCTCTACAGGACAGGGGCCAGGAATAAGGAATCACAGACAGTAAGGCAATCTTTACAATGTCAGAAAGTGTATTTGGCATTTAAAAAAAAAAAAAAGAAAGAAAGAAAATGAAAAAAAAAAAATGAAACAAGTGCATACAAATACAGCTAGAAGCATTTCTGGTTTGCCAAGTGCTCTCTAAAAAAAGCAGCGCAAGTCACAGCCTACATTGAACAGTAACTGTCACCAGGGAAGCACAACAAATAGTTGCTATAACAAAAGGGAAAAAAGGAAAAAGAAAAAAAAAACCCAACTAAACCAAAAAAACAAAACAAAACAAAAAAGGAGAAGAATTAGAAGAAATGCCTTTATAATAAGTACATACCTTTTGTCTTCAAAAAATATAGAAACACAATGTATTCAAAAAAATCAAAATTATACAGCCATGTTTATGAAGTCTACATTTCCCTTGTCTTGGAGATATATATATATTTATATATATATATTTATAGATATATACAGAATTGGAGCAGTTTGAGTTCAAGGTGACGTTGGGCGGCGAGAGCGGGCGAGTCACGAGTCCCTCTCCTTTTTCACTTTCACATCTCCGGCCAGGATGGTGGCGATCTCCCCCTGCATGAAGGCCCAGGGGACGTTGGAGCCCACCAGGGGACACTTCTCCCCGCTGGGACAATACACCTCGCCGCTGGCTCCCTGCTGCTTGATGCTCTGCCGGGAGCAGGGGAAGCAGAACTTGTGGGAGGGGACGGAGGGGCACTGCACGAAGTGGGTGTCTTCCAGGCGCTCGTGGCAGAGGGTACAACACAAGGGGACGCTGGCGGCGAGGGACGAGTCCGGCAGGCTGGCGGGATGGACGGGCTCCAGCCCGCCCGCCGCCGCCGTGGCCCCCTGGCCCGGCACCTCCCTGCCGCCGGGGCCCAGCCTTCTTTGGTTCATGGCGGAGGGCGAGGGGGGGCTGCTGCTGTTCCTCCGCGTGGTGGAGTGGACCTGGTTGGCGTCTTTGGAGGCGTGGTTGCCCCCGGCATTGTCCGCCACCAAAATGAGGGCGGCCATGGGGGACTGGCCGTTCTGGGCCGCCTCGGGCGGCGTGGTCCGGTTGGAGTGGGGCGAGGCGGTGGGCGGCGGGGGCGACATGAAAGGGGTGGCCGTCAGCGGCAGCTTCATCCCTTCCGACGAGGTGGGCAGCCAGGGCTGCGCCTCCCCGTTGATCTTCGGGGGTCCCGCCTCGCCCTCCGGCTCGGGGGAAGGCTTCCTCTTCCGGGCGGCCCGGGCCCCTGCGGAAGCAAAAGAGGGGGGGAAGGGGGAAAAGAGGAGGAGGAGGAAGGTGAGAAGGCAGCCCAGTCGCAACGCGCCGCCGAGCACAGGGGTCACCGCCGCGCAATCGCAGAAACGGGTGGCCGCCGCCGCCGCCACCCCCCGGGCACCCGGCCACCCAGGCCGTCGGGCCACCGCCTCGACGCCTCCCGGGATCCCCCGCCCCGCACGCCGGGAGAGGCGCCCCCCGCCCTGCCCTCCCCTCCCCTGCCCGCTGCCCCCTGGCCCCCGCCGCCTCACCTGGCTTGGCCACGGCGCCGTTGGTCTCGTAGCCCAGCAGCCTGCCGCCCGCCATGCCCGGCTCCTTCTTGAACTTGCTGTCGAAGGGCGGCACGGCGTGGCCGCCGTGCTGGTGCAGGGCCAGCAGCGTGTCCCGCACCGTCTTGGGCTTGGTCAGCCATTCCTGCTCGCTGCCCGGCCGGCCCTTGCCCTCGGCGGCCAGCTCCGCCGCCGTCGCCGCCGGCAGGCTCTCGGCCG